CTGTGATTCTGTGATTCTGTGAAAACAAAATTCAGTGCTACGTTAGTGCTGTTTAGACTGCCTCACATATGAAGTATTACCTTTGGATAAAAAAATATTACAAAATGAATTGGCAAAACAATTTACTGCTAAAAACTTACCCAAAAGTTAATAGAAAAACTTACCTATAGTTCAACGTTACCTCTTTTGTTTGATAAAGTTTACTTACCGGAGTAAACCATATTTCAATTTCCTGCACAGCAAAATTGAGGCCCTGAGAAATGAAGATAAACTCACAGAAACAAGTCTTCCACCTCCCAGTTCCCTGCTGTTGGCGTCAGATTGCATTGCTACGAATGGATGTGCTTTAGTCATTGCATCCATTGTCCTGGATAAAGCCAAATCACAGACCAGCAATAACTTTACTGCTATTGCATGAGACATCAGATTCAGAACTAAACCGAAAAGAAAAGCCAGAGGGGAAGTTCACCTTCTGCTGTATGGCATGGAGCAAAGGACTTCTGGCTCAAGATGACCAGTCGAAGGTGGTCCACACAGAAATTCAGCTTACTCTGAGGTTTAGAAACAGGAGGCCACGAGGGACATTCCCTGGCTGGACTGTGCCTGTGCAGTGACAGCAGCATGACACAGTCACCAAGTCCCATTTTCCTCCATGCTCCAGCCTCTGCCTAAAGAACCTGCGAGTTCATGGCTATACCAAAGACATTTCTACAGACCTGAAAAATCAGACTTCCCAAACCAGCATTGTAAGATAATGAACAGCAAACGCTTTGTTCAGCTCGTGCTGATCTTCATTCAGTACATTTACTCTTCAGTCACAATGTCCTTTTTAAAAGTGTTCAGACCCGGGGGGAGGAAATCAGTCAGGAACAAAGCACAAAACAGGAACGGTTAACACCAACCTCCCTACAAAACATGAAATCTGCATTTGCTTCCACTTCAGAGCGCCTGACAACACAGCAAAAATCGTCTGTACGTCTTGCCAGCATTTCGAGGGTACACCCTGTTCCACTCATCCTGGTTCTTATTCTCTCTTTGGGCACCTGCCCCTGGAAACAGTAGAAATAAAGCTGCGATTAGAGCATCAGAGTTGACCCAGCGTAACAGGTATCCTCCTGTTATCACTTTGATGTAAGTAGAGCTTACATATGGGTTTGGGATGTGGCAGATCCAGCTGTCTCCTGTAGCGCATCCCAATCAGGATAATAAGCAGTTCAGCTAAGCAAACAATCCCCGTTGGTACCCAGAAACTCCGGCTGGGAAGAGCATCCCTTCAGCTGCAGAAAGTGAGTCTGAGTTTAGCTCAGTAACCTGACCATAGCCTGGCCACCGGTACCAGGAGGGTGCGATTTCGTTCAGAGTAACGTGCTTCTGCCAGAGCTGCATCCTCTCAGAGCACTGCACTGTCCTGCCTGCTGTTCTGTAAGATGACAAGAAATCATGTTGAAATGTTGTACAAAAATGTAACTAATTATATCTCAAGGTATCTGAGCATTCAACTTCCAAAGCACACCTCACAAAATGAAAACATTTAAAGGCAACAAGAGATGAGAGCAGTTGGCACCTTCCAGGAAAGCAGCTCCTCCCTGGAACACACACGTTTTTACGAGGCTGATCAGCTCATGGAACAAAGGACCACCAGAAGTCAGTATTTAGACATTTATTTCAGATAAGCAGTTTACACGCCTATTATTGAGCAAAACTGAATTGCAAATATACAAATACCGTAACAAGCATATCAAAGAACATAACTGGCACTAGTGTTATAAGCACATTACTGAAACTGGTGAAGGTAAGTCATGGAAGAGGACCACAGCTTTTCTTGAGCATTTTCTCTTTATCCAACCAAACTTCCAGTAGCACCATAATGGCAATACATGAAACACAAGACAGAACATTGTTAACTGTTACTCTGATAGTCACTTTTTTTTTAATTTTAGTGAATTACATAGCAAAAAAAATGTTAACAGTGCAGGCGCTTTGGCCAACTTCAGCTTGTGTCCAGCTGTACATCTTCCATATGAAAAAGAAAAAAGCCAGCATATTTGGAATCCGTCTTTGCACTGGGGCAGTCATTGCACTGCACTTCCATTCTGGGACTGAAGGTACGCGTGTCTTGCAAAGAGATGTCATGTCCACTAAAGCCTGAGTGAGTCTTTGGTAGGCTAATACTTCACTGTTATTATACATTTATCTACAACAGTCATTTTATTCACTGGAATTTTCTTTTGTGATCCAAGGTGGCCAAAGAGGACATTCTGGAAAACATTACAGTAAAATCCTCCAACGACCAGGCACTTCAAACCCAGTCTTTTCCAAAGGCACCAAGAATTGATGGGGCATCATTTTTTCCCCCTAACGAAAGGTGACTGCATCTGCTTTTCTACAATGCTTATAAACCACTGGATTGTTATTTTACAGTTTTTATACACTATATAGTAGCCTTACCTGCTACACTGGTTGGTTGCATGAATAAATAAGTAACCCCACTGCTCTTCACAGGTGATGTCTCCTTTCCACCATGTATTAAGTACCAATTTCTTCTGTTTCCAAATCAGGTAAAATGCCATAACCTCAGTGTACACACATACAAACGCTTCTGACACAGGCTAGGTCCATCTGAAGATATGCGGTTCATTCTACATGCATTCTAAATACAGTGTGTCCAGTTATGAAACAAAATTATCATGACAAATACTCACTGTTGAAATATGTTTGTACAGGTCTCTGCAAAACTTTCGCTTCCCTTAAACAGAGTTCACACAAGAATGGTTTTAAGTCACTAACGCTCAGCTAACACCCATTTATCCCAAACCCCGTATTTTCCAAGTGAACAGTGCAGGACATATTATTCATTTCAGCATTTAACGTATTAAGAATTTACCAATTTTTATCTAAATACACCAAGTATATGCTTTCAAGCAAAGTTGTGGCAAAAATATGAAACACAGACGTATTTGTACTGCTGTAATGCACTTGGTTAAAGCCTTCACGTCTCTTCACACAGGTCTAAGATCCCTATGAAGTATTTTGCCTTATCAGACAAGCATATATAAAATGCAATTGTATCAAAACCTTGCTTCTACTGGTCACCTGAAACTTAGGGAAGTCACATGTAATTCAACCAGCTTTCAGACAGGGTTCTTTAGTGGTAAATATATTTTTGCAGCACTTACAGGCTTAAATTTCAGTCTGAATAGAAGTGCTTACTTCCACAGCATGTTGTGAAAGGTTGTTGTTTGTTTCTTTCAGCGTTTCACCCACACCTAAATTCACATCTGTGGAGGATCCATGATGAACGCTTTCCTCAGCGATGTAACTCAGCTGGGGAACATCAGTGCTGGGGGCTGTTGGAACAGGCACGGGGATTCCACTCGGCTGCGGAGAGTTTTCCAAGCGATCATTTTCCACCTCGGGGAGAACACTGACTGTGGTAAAGCGAGTGTGATAGTCGCTGGAACCATGGCTACAGGAAGTTTTCATACTTTCCATATCTGAGCAACTAAACTCAGAAAAGTGACTCGAGTGAGAATCTGCTACGGATGGAATACTATCACTAAGAGAGGGAGAGTCAAATTCACTGGAGTTTGTGCTTTGCTGTTCCAACAGCTGAGCGTCCATATCCTCTCTTGTCTCATTTATCTTCATGCTACTCTTCTTCCTCAGCTTTCCTTTACATTTTTTTCCTGCTGTTGTTTCTTTGGACCACTTGGTGGCATTAGATTTACTTTCTGGCAAGCAGGCCGATGAACAACCGGCATTGCTCCGACCTGCAGCACTGCCGTCATCAACACTGCTGCTTCCGCTGTTGTGTCGGAATTTGGCTGGCTTGGATTCGATATCCACTTGCACTTCCATGCTGTTGCCTTCCCTAGAACAAGAAAGAATCCGTGAGTCTAAGCGGTCATCTAAGACAAGCTAGCTAACGTGGCAAAAAAAAAAAAACCTCTTACTGCTTCCTGAGATACACATGAAAACAAAGTTCGGGAGATGTAATTTGTTTCAGAAAAAGTATTTAACTGAGTAAACAGCCAAAAGAAAACACAAAGTCTGAGATATCAAACACTGAGCTATAGTGATGGGGCTCCTCTGTGGAAATAACCTTGGCAAATCACAGGTAATTCCATTTTTAAAAAAAAATCGCAGTTTCAAAGGGTGATCACTAAAGTAGAGAAGCTGAGGTATGGTTAGAATATCCCTTAATAAGCAAAGCTTTTCATCTTCTGTTTTCACCACAGGTCTCTTACCTGTCCAAAGGGATGTAGGAGTTCAGAATGGATCCTGCCATCGCTTTGGTACTGGCGTTATCACTAACTGTTCCCAAGCTAACTGTGCCAGATTCTCCACTCAGACTGTATCGTTCTTTCTGTACGTCTGCTTGTACTTCCAGTCTGGGAGAGAAAGAAAGAGAGTTGCATATCCTGCTGCTACAGTGAAACACACTAGTTCACCGTTCAGTAGTAAGCAGAGTTTATTAGTTACTCCAGTACAGATGCACATATTTACCCGACAGAAACAGGTTCTCTCTTCCTGCTGTCAAAAATGAGTATTTTCTGATACAAAACCACCCAAAAGCAAAACCAGATTAATTTCCCAACAAAGCAAAACGTTGTGTGCTAACCAGAGGTTCTGGATTCTTTCCTCCCTGAGATTTACAAGAACAACTTCCAGGCTTAGCTACACTTCTTTTGCAGATAGTGTACTGTATGCTAAAAATGGAAAAAACAAATCAGAAGGGTACGTAAGTTCACGGCATTATAGTTCCCCTGTTTCTCCAGCTGCAAAATTATTATTAATCAAATAACAGGCAGAGAACTGTGTTCTGTACTCAGTTTTATACTGTATTGTTATCATCTGCAATAGGAATAACAGAAACCTGAGCAATCTTAAGTTGGGCTGAGCAGATAAACCAGAAATCAAATTACAAGCTTTTTTCCCCATGCCTTCTTTATCTATGTCCTGACAGTGAACTGCAAGTGGGTTTTTTTGTTTTGTTTTCCACTCTCAGCTCTTTAAAGAGGCGGACAGGTATACCTCATTCAGCAGTTACAGCCTGAAACACCTGTCCCAGAATAAGGAAACTTGATGCTATCCTGTCCTCCACACTCCATATAGCCTGGAATTCCTCAAGAAAGTGAGCAGTGTTAGCATCTGATTTAAAGAGCAAATTCCATCCTGAACCCTAACAATCCTTTCCAGACACATCTCTTCAGGATGCAGGACAGCCAACAGCAAGGCCCCCATCCACAGGAGGCACTGAGCACCAGCAAGAAGTTACCACCTCGGCAAGGCCAGGTACCCTGCTGCCTCCCCTGCTGCCCAGGTCCGCTCTGAACCCACACTCTAGCCAGGGGTTCTGAACACACAGCTCAGTACTTGCCGACTGTTGAACAAGTCAGCAGTTGTGACTTTAGGGTGAGATGCACCAAAGCACACGGCTGTGTTGGACATGAGGTGCCTCCCTCGGACTCCTGGGTAGAGGCTGCTCTCCTGGGAAGCAGGAGAACATGATCTCAGGCCCCATTCACCCTGAAAAAAATTCCAACTCTTCTTTGAGGAGTCTGGCAGGATCTCTTGGAAATCAAGTTTGTGAGAGAGGAACTGTCTCTATCTCCCAATAGGAAGATAACAAATAAAAAAATAAAAACCAAAAAACCCTAGTAATACCACTTTCTCTGCTTGTATGTAGAGCAGGACACTGTGCAGTGGAAAGCGTGTGTCTTACCTGTTAAAGCAGTTAACCATTGCACTCCCTGAGAGACTCCCCGTTATACTGGCCCCGGCCAGGGCCATGGTACTAGCCGTTTCGCTCAGGTTGTCTCGAATGGCTCCTATTCTGTCCATGTGGCTTCCACTTGCACTCAAGCTGCCAGTCAGTCCTCCAACGCTTCCTTCGCCGATGCTAGGGTTATGACGAGCCTCTGCTACCGAAGTGGTATCTAGACAGAATAAAGAAGGCTTGTCAGTTACGGAAATAGGATGTAGTAGTTTCTAGAATGGGACCATGGAAACTGTTCCTGAAATTATGCTGAGAAAAAGGATTTACAGAACATAAGTGTGACACAAAGATAACTTTGTCAAAAAAGAGACCTTTCTTGGAGTTGCTAGAACAGTTATGTGATGTCAGGCACAACTAAGATACCAAAAAAGTTAACTGTGGACAGGTTAGGTAACATGGAGTCAAGGAACACAGACAGACCCTACACAAAGCAGACTGCCATATAATTAAAATTTAAAAAGCACCAGATCAGCATTCAGTTCCCCCTATTGTAGATAAACAGATGAAAGCCAGCAAGCTTCCAAAAAACCAGTATTCTGAAAAAGCAGCATTAATTCTATCATCTTAAACCTTGAGTCTGGCACTGATTAAAATAGCCAAGAAGAGTTTTAATAGTTATATTACAGCACAGCACCACACACAGAGAAGCCATCCTCATCTGAGAGCTGGTCTTTCAGCAACCAGTGGAAGTAATCTGAACTGTATAGTTCCTCTTCTGCACATTAAGTACTACAGTATCTAAGGTCATCAAATATAAGGCTCAAAGCCCAAATTTATAGAAAAAGAAACACAGAATTTTCTTACCTACAGCTGCATTTGTTCCACCAACGTTTATATCATTTTCATCATCAAATTCTATCCTGACACCTTTTCCGTTGCCTGCTGACACACCACAACCTCCACTTCGGCAGAGGGAGATTGGCACAACTCCATACACGTACGCCAGCATAATAGGAACACCAATACCTAAAGAGCAAAGCGCAGTCTTTCATTAAATGGGACTTGTATTTTGGAGCCTTTCATAAAAGCAATTTCATTTTCCATCATTGCTTAATATTTCACACTTGAAAGAAATCAGGAGGGAGGAAAATTAATAAATATTGGTACATCACTAAGGTGAAATGACGGGAAAGTGCTTTCAGCCCGCAGATGTCCTCTAGCAGCACGGGTAGGCAGAGAAGCTTAACGCTTGATGAGTTAGTACTTCCTGTGTGTCCATAACATCTTTTAGAAACAAAATGAAAACACTTTAAAGGTTCATATAAGCTCCACTGGTGAGTGTAATAACGTACCACCTGAGAAGCAGAAACAGCAGAGATCTATTTCAAATGTTATTCAACTAAAAAAGTTACTACCTCTACTAATTTAATAAGGGGCTTGATCTTGCACCCACTGAAGCCAGAAAGGGCTTTGCTATCCATTTAATACAACTTCCCGTGGATCTTTCATATTTATCGTATCACACTGATTGCATTTAAAGATTTTAACTATACAAATTGTCCTTAAAACAAAACACGTCTGTGGAGCAGGGTGGTGGGAATTAAGGAAAAGCAGAGAAAGGAACTGTGGGGTAAAGCACACACACACAAACACACATCCATCCCACCACTTCTAGTGGACTGTGGAAGTTACTGCTTTGGCATATGAACGAAACCATTCTCTAGCTTTTGTGATGGAAGCACACAAGGTACAGAAAAACGGCAAGCTGGCACATGCTGAAAAAGCCAGCATGGAGGCAGACCCACTGTAAAGGCTCCTCAGTCCAACCTAAAAGAACGGTTCCAGTTTAAGTCTCTTTCACTAGAAATTCTTCAGCATTCAAGGAGGAAATCCATATTCTCAAGGTTATTATTTTGGAAGCCAAACAATGCCCTGAGAGACCAGAAGCCATGTGTTAACAGCAACGAGGCAAGAGTAAAAACTCCACAAAATAAAACCCCACAACTTTCCATAAGAAGCCAAGTTTTGTCTCTAGTCAGGAATGAAAAATAGCTTGAAAGAATGAGGTAAAGCAGACCTATAAATACATCCACGAGACTTTGTGTCCCACCACAGCTACAGGAGAACACTTATGACTAGCCCATCTGCATTTGCACAGTGGCCAACCATGGTTAAAAAGCAGTTTAAAGCCACAGCTTCACGGCCAGTTCAAACCATCACTCGCTAGAAGTGGCCCTCTCCTCCTGAGGCCACTTGTTGCTCTCTGAGCACTACTCCTGGCACAAGGAGGAACACTGCATACCCAGCTGTGTGATGAACCAGATCAGGGGCCTCATCCAGCTCAAAACTAAATGGTGGGTCTTAACACGAACCCACTATCCATGGCAGCTTCCATTAAGTGTAAGAGACTATATTTTTCTTCTATGTTGAGAAAAGTTTGATATGAAGTTATCAAAATATGAACAGATTCTGTGGCAACAGGTTTTTTTTCGATCAGTCATTTAAAAAAACCTTCAAATATTTCAGTTTTATATAACAATATGGAAAATCCAATTTGAAAGATAAAAATTATTTTTAATTCTTCATTTTAATGGAGCATTTCCTCAAGTACTGTATTCTCCATTCTGCCTCAATAAATGTCTAGCCTCAGACTCCTCATTGTCTTGGTTCCTTCCTTCCTATGAAAGGGCACTATAGGACTTATCTCAGCTATTTTATTCATGAGCACCTATAGAGCTCCGGTCGCAAGGTGCTACCAATACACAAAACAGTGGTATTTGCTTACCTACAGTTACTGCAGCTACAACTGGAGAAACGATCACAGATAAGGTTACACCACCTGCTATAGCCAAGTTTCGCTTGTGCTTTGAAATGTCTTTGCCTTCGTATCGATTGTGAATCTTGAGAAAAGAAAAGAAGAAACGGTTTTTAGAGTATTATCATCATCATCCATCGCTGCAAGGATGGAAGAACTGACATGTAGCAGTTTGGAATCTGTACCCTGCTCTATTCCAGACAGACCACATTCTATGTCACAATTTATTCCTTATTTCAAGGAAAATAAAATTTATACTTTTCTTAATTTTAGGCCCCCCATCCAGCAACTAAGCATTTACTGTCAGCCTCAAGTCAGAAGAGCTAAATCATTGAACAGCTTTTTGTTTGGTTGGTTAATCACTACTCCAGCTTACCTGGCTGGGAAAAGTAGACAATTTTCAGAATCAAAGAATTACCACATCTGATGAAACTGGCACTTACTCTTGTAGTAGGGCAGCCTTCACCAAACATAGCCAGGGAAGGGGGAGAGCAAGAATTCCATTCCTCTGGCATCTTCTGACAACAAATTGTTGAGACAGGAAATATTTCAGCAAACCTGAGTCTTTGCTGTGCTACTATTTACTGAGGAATCTGCAAACAGAAACCCTTCCTGATGGTTCAAGTTTGCAATGACTCTGACATGTGACTGCCTCAAGTTCATCTGCTGCAAATCCCACCTGAACCTGAAAGGCCTTCAAAGATCCCTGTTTTACAGACATTCCTCACTTTTTGTGTTTCATTTACTCTCTCTAGGAACATGGCTTTTCAGGGATATGCCCTTCACCCGTCGTCATTCTTGGCTAAGACGTAACTACAAAGGAACAACAGGTCACTATCTTAACGGTTATCATAAGGCTGAATTAATCCTCACTACATCTAAGGAGGAACACAAAGAGTACTATGAGGATAATCACAGTATTTTTATATCAACGTGCTACTGCAAGAAGAATGACACAAATGAGCTGGAGGCTTTATTCAGTGTTGTGCTTTCTAAATTATAATTTCAATTAGAGGTTTGGTAGGGTAGTTCTCATTTTGGAATAACCTTAAAGTATTTGTGTTTGTTCAGGCACAAGAAGCAACACCAACGAGAGAGCACTTGGATGTGGAACATACCTATGGATTAAAAAGGAAAATTGCACATGAACACTTTCACAGTACGAGTGTCTAAGAATTACAAGCCCAGGAAGATCAGGTTTCATGGGGCTCTGATCAACGAGCAGGATCACCTCAGCCACTGAATTTTACCCTTACGGACAATTTTACCTACCAAAACAAAAGGCATCCAACAAACAAAGATATCTATAAAGGCTACTGGATTCCTTAAACATAAAGCAACAAAAAGGAATGGAAGGGAGTGGCTACAGAGAAGAAACTGATTGAAAATATCAAGATAGAAGGTTACACTGGTACGAATGATTAAGAAATAAGAGACTTCAGAATGCTGAGTAAAAAATAAAGAATATCCAAATAAAAATACTGGGCTAGAAGAAGAGGGATTTCAATAAAAGCAGTAAACTGGTAGGTTACAGGAGTTGTATCTATAAAAAGAGAGGACTAGCGCGTCCTTAAGGAAACTCTATCGAAGTATAAGCACAAACTCTTCCAATGCAGAAGACAGACAGAACGTTATAAAAGAACAACGAACCTTCCTTCACTGAAGCAACAGGAGCATTAAGAAAATAGAAAGTAGGTCAGATTACTATGAATAGTTACAAAGGAACAGCACGAGTGTGTCAGGACAAAATCACAAAGGTTAAAATAGAGGAGACAAAAAGCAAAGGACATCAAAGTCAGCAAGAAATTATTAAACAAGTATCTGCGAGCAAGAGGAAGACCAAAATGGATCAATGTGCTATTTAACAAAAAGGAAAGACAGCCAGTGGATGAAACTGGAGGCCTGCTCAATTTTTCTCCCTTCAGTTGTCACTAAAGATCAACTGTGAGACAGGTGACTGGTGACAAAGGAGTGAGATCTGTAGGAAAACAGCAGGATAGAGTGTATCTACATGAGCTGATCTGAAAAATATCTCAGCAGGCCCAACTTCAGAGCCATTAATAATAATTTTTGAAAACTATTATGCATAGAAGATGTCTTTAAAAAAAAAAAAAAATCAGGAAAACTGGAAAAAGTTAAACTGTAATGATCTTTAAAAAGGTGTAAAACAAGAAGCTGGTGAACTAAAGACCAGTGAACCGAACTTTAATTTCCTGAAAACTGGAAAATTGTAGACACCAAAGAAAATGTAGGAACTAAAGAGGCCACACTGATTTGTTTCAAGTAGAAATCACGTCGATTTAATTTTCTTCTGTGACAAGACAACCAGCCTTGAGGATAAGGAGAAACAGACGTCACACACTGACTTGAATAAAATTTTGATGTTTTCTTGTGTGACACTCAAACAGGTTGTAATGGTCCAGACTGAAAAACACGATAAATCTACCATTAGCTTCATGTAAAACTGACAGAAAACATCTGAGTTGTCATTAGCATATTTTTTTACACTCTAAATTGAAACTCTTCACCCTCTACTTTTTCCAAGAGATACTCCCTGGATCCAAGAGCATTCACCATTTTTATGAAGATGGAAAGAGAAGAATGTGTGTGTTGAATTTCAGGCCAATAGAGTCTGGCAAGGTTGCAAGAATGCCAGAACTCATACTAGTCTTGAGCTCTTCACCCTCTACTTTTTCCAAGAGATACTCCCTGGATCCAAGAGCATTCACCATTTTTATGAAGATGGAAAGAGAAGAATGTGTGTGTTGAATTTCAGGCCAATACAGTCTGGCAAGGTTGCACTCAGTCTTGAGAAGTTGAAAAAATGGACTGAAATGACTAAGATGCAGCACAATGGTAATGAGTTCGAGACTACCCTTAGGAAGAGACCAATTGCCTAAATTGCCAGTGTGGTGGGGAAGGGTGTTCTAGAGTACAGAAAATGAAAACAGCATGTTGTTCAGAAAGAGATAACTGGCAGTTAAATGCATAGGATCACCCTTTCTTTTAACTCAGCTGTAGTAATTCTTCAACTTCACTGGTATATTCAAACTGGACAAAAACAGTTGCAGTATGAACAGGTGGAAGGAAATCCAGGAGAGAAGATGAGAATCAGTGTGTTTTCCTGACAGTTTGTATAAAAAAAAACCCAAAACACATTGGAAGCGCTAGGTTTGTTTAGACATAAGAATTACAGTGGATTTAAAAATGATCAACTACATAATGGGATATTGCAAAGCAAAAGGATTCCTTACATCAGCTGAAGATAGGGCAATAAGAATTTAGTGCAGGAACAGAATTTACATTAATGTTAGAAAAAACTATTTACTAAGAAAATTAGGCTAGGAGAGGCTGTGGAATCTCCATCATCACATGTTTTGAAGAAAAGTGCAAACACGTGACAGGAGTCACATAAAAACGACCATTAAGCCGTGGGGTACAATGGAAATTTTCATGAGGCTGCCCTCACAGACTAACTTTCTGAGACTTTACCGCGGATATGTGGAAGTTGCTCCGTGATGGGGGCCTATCCCAAAATCTAATCAGAAAAGCAGAGCATGCAACAGTAACCTGAAACAGGTAACTGCCACCTTCTTCCTCTCATCATGTATAAGGTTCCAATGACTGTATGGGACTGAGACAAAACAGAACAGAAGGGTCAAAAAACAACCACAGAAGAAGGTAGGAGTAATTGCTCGAATGAAAAAGACGAAAATATACAGTGGGAAACCTGCATCCCTGGACTTTTCATCTGGCAGCAACAGCTCATGTGAGAAACACTTCCCTCCCCTGCCAATAAATGCAGAATTATGTGTCCGTGTCAGTCACTGGGAGAATCCGTGCTGATAAAAGCAGAAAATCTTTTCACAAAACTCAAAAAAATCTTTTGATTATGCTACCCAAGACATGTAACTGAACACTCAGCACCTTACCAAGCCATCATTTCAAAAAGCCCATTTCCAAAAGATTTGGATAACTTACTACTTTATCCTAAATTACAAATAGGAGAGGCAATTCTCTTTTGTTTTCCATGCAATTTATTATTTACTTTATACTAAAAGTTGTTAATATTTTTGAGAGGAAATACACCAACTGCCTCCTGATTAACATGGTCATTTCCAGCTGATTCCCACAAACAGTAAAATGAAGGTAGATGCTGTCTGGCTACCTGCACTGAACACTGCTTCCCATGCTGGACCGGCCCGAGGCCATTAACAAGCTGCTGAGTATAAATGCTTCAACGTGTGCAGGCACTAACTACTACTAGAAGTTTACACTACAATAGTGGTAACTATCTGCTTTTAAGAAAGGATTTCCTTTCTGTCTTCCTTCTCCTCTAAATATTGTTTAATTCTAAGGGACACAAGGGAAAGCAGGTATTAAAAATAGAGCAATTTTGACAAAGTATACCTAAGAACTCCCATGGCAAGATGCAGAAACTGGAAATTGTTCAGCGTTTTCTCTGCTTGTTTTAAGAGGAACTACATTGTGAAACACACTGCTTCTCCCTCCTGTACAATTGGAGCAAATATCCTCAAACAATCCCTGAGGAGCAGGATTTGGGAGTGTTGGTTGATGAGAAGCTGAACACGACCTGACAATGAGCACCTGCAGCCCGCAAGGCCAACAGGATCCTGGGCTGCATCGAAAGAAGTGTGACCAGCAGGTTGAGGGAGGGGATTCTCCCCCTCTGCTCTGCTCTCATGAGACCCCACCTGGAGTGCTGCATCCAGCTCTGGGGGCCTGACATAAGACAGACATGGATCTTTGGAGCGAGTCCAGAGGAGGGCCACAAAAATAATCAGAGGGCTGGAGCACACCGGTAAAAGGACAGGCTGAGAGAGTTGGGGTTGTTCAGCCCAGAGCAGAGAAGGCTCCAGGGAGACCTTAGAGCAGCTTCCAGTGCTGAAAGGGGGCTACAGGAGAGATGGGGAGGGACTCTGCATCAGGGGGTGTGGTGACAGGATGAGGAGTAACGGTTTTAAGCTGAAAGAGGGCAGATTTAGATTAGATATTATTAAGAAATGTTTTACTGTGAGGGTGGGGAGGCAGTGGCCCAGGTTGCCCAGGGAAGCTGTGGATGCCCCATCCCTGGAGGGGTTCAAGGCCAGGCTTGGGCAACCTGGGCTAGTGGAGGGTGTCCCTGCCCATGGCAGGGGGATTGGAACTTGATGATCTCTAAGGTCCCTTCCAACCCAAACCATTCTGTGATTCTGTGATTCAGGGGTTGGTTTGTTTGGTTTTTGGGGGTTGTTTGTTTTGGTTTTTTTAATGGCTGGTGAAGGTAGCCAACCAAACATGGTATTGCTCAAGTCATACAACGCAGGAGGTAAAACCTGAAGCATGTTTAGGAGCTGCAGCACATTTTACCTTACGTCCCACATACACAGGAATTCCAATAATCATAGCAGGAATAGCAATGCCAGCTATTAAGGCAATTCCTACAGGAGCTCCAACAAGCGTTCCTAGTTGCCACAGTATTTTCTTCTTACGGCTCCACGGTTTCTTTCCCCAAAATGTGCAACCTGATGGGCTAATAGAAAGAGGTAAGAAAACTGTGAAGAAACTGTAAATAAATCAACATAACTACACAGTACTGAACAGTTCTCTAGGTAGAAAATTGTTCTTAGTTCAAGTTAGAAATGTTATAGATACCAAATCATCAGTTCTAATCTCTTCAGAGTTTTTTTTTTCTCTTTACAGCATGTTTTGCAACGTAAAGAGAATGATGTTGCATATGCATACTGCATGCCAGCCTGTGGTTCACAGGTAACTTATATAATCAGAGGTTTTGTATCGCTTACTACAAAGACAATACAGCAGTATTAAGAATCAGTAAAAACAGTGGGTATGTTAATCTAAAACACTTCATTTGCTGTACTAAGTACACATTGCATTCATGCAACTTAGAAAAATTGTTTAAAATAAAAAATATCAAAGCACTAATTTAAATACATGCATTGAAAACGAACATAATTCTCAGATATAGACACTTCAACTGTGACTGTCTACTCCTAAAGGAAGAAAGCCAAACTTACAACACCCAGGAATCTACTTCTATATACGTTAAAGACAAATTACCAACCACATTAGTATTTTTCTTCTTAAATGTACCTTAAATAATGTAAATCTGAGATCTCTTTCATACACAGCCAACAGAATTCACAGCCACAGACAGCACAAGTCATATGATTGCAGCTTCCATCATTCATTTTTATTATGTAAGCAGCACAGCGTGGGCATGGCTTTATGTCATCAGCTGTTTAAAAATGAAGATGAAGATCGTATCAGTTCTTTAGACAAGCAGATTTAATCAAAGTATAGACATATGTTTGTGAAAACTGATTGAATCATTATCTGAAAAATGCAAGAAGTTTAAGTTTGCTTTACAAAACTTGATTTGGCAATGACTTGATAGCTATTTGTATTTGTAAACCTTGGACAAAGTAAAACTAATGAAAACAAGGCATATTAGATCATAGTCAAGGAATTGACTAGTTAATGCATACTCTCTGTTCAAGGATTTTCTAAGCTTAATGCAATATACATTAGAGTCAGATATTAAATATGTATGTAATACAAGATTGATAATATGGTCTCTTTAAATATAGTCTGTTACATTTCATGCTGTTATGAATATTTTGCTTCACTATTCAGTTTGCACTCTTTTTTCTTATCTTAAATCCCTCTCCACTTCCACACTAAGTGCATTTCTTTGGTATCACCAAACTCCTCTTGAGTCCTTTTCACAGCCCTATGTAATGCTTCCTTACTCCCTAGAAAAAAATATTGCAGCAAAAAGAAAATTCTGGAGACTCTCCTTGTTCCCAAGTCAAATACGGAAAATGCAGTTAAGTGACTAGCTCTATCACCAACAAACAAGGTGTCGCTGGGCAACTGCGAAATGCTCGTCCACTGACACAACCTCAGTTGTGATCTTCGTTCCTTCACATTACCGGTTAGCATCTGCACTTTGGGACAAGCTACTTACAGCAGTAGAAAGAACTTCCAGCCCCTAGTGCAGAAGTCCAAGTTTACTGCCTCTGAGCTACTAGTTAGGACAAAGGAAAAACTGGGGTTATACTTAGTATAAAGAATATCCAAAGAGGTGCAGAGCCAGCAAAAAACAGTACCTCTACCAACGCCAGTGCCCAAGGACAGCGAGCAGCTGAAAGGATGCACTGGCTATTCTCAGACGGGAACAGATACACAATCTACAGGGCAATAACTAAACCGAGCCAGTTTCTACAGCACAGGTATGGCAGAGCTACTGCTGTTCATGCTGGGAGGGACTGAAAGGGAAAGGAAAGAAGCTTGTGTGCTAATTTATTTAAAGTTTATTTGAAAATTTATTTGAAAACTAGAGCAAGACACCAATTTTTAAGGCAATGTGGGGTGCCTTGTTAAAATAAGACAGCACAAGCAACAAATTAGAGACTCCCAAGTCTACTGCTGGATTGGAAAACAACAGGTCTAACTACATTCAAGGTGCAAGAGAGAGTCTTTACCCCAAGTATCTATCTCGTTTGGGCAGGCAGCCACAAAAGCTGACACATACATCAGAGTTCAGTGTAATTCAGAGACAATTCTTATCAATAGCAAACTGGACTCTTGCTCTGCAAAACACTACCCTAAATAGTTTATCCTCTTTTTTGGGGGGGGTTACAAACAAGCTCAATTTTAAGAGATGGAATTGTTTTCTTTCAGGTACACAAGACAGATGATCATTTTATTGAAAACCAGAAATTAGTACTAACTAACATACATGTCAAACATCAGAGCTGGCACCAGTCTACTCTGAATGCAGAAAGTTTGGTTTGAGTTCCAAGTTTTATTTTTAACAGCTTCTATTATTAGCAGCCCTGTGAAATTTCACCTACAGTGGAGAATGTAAGAGTTCCCAGCGTGTAGGTGATACAACTAATGAAGTCAGCGTGTCAAACGTAGAAAATGCTATGCAGCAAGTCCCTTTGACTTCACATTTTTCAGCTACAAAGTAAGAATTTAAAATGCTGACAACCCTTTAAGACTGAAGGCAGGTGCTCTGGTCACAGAGTATTTCAAATCACAACACACACAAACTGAAAACTGTATATTTGATGTCTCTGAAACACAAAGCAGCCAGTATCTAGCATGCTACTATTCAGTTCTTTCCTTTTTAGAGTTAATTGTGCAAGTATACTAAAAAGATATTTTACAGACACACTATCCTAATCACGAATACCTGCTGCTCCAGATTCCTGGCTGTAACTAATAGATGAAGAACGAATTGTTCTCAGGCGTAGACTTTGAGCTCTCTCCTGGCGAGCAGCATCGCAGGTCTGGTTGGGATGCCAAATCTGCTTACAGTGGTAGCAAAACTCAGTTCCGCAGCCTTCTCGTCCACATGTAAGTTTGGGACAGCTGGCACATCCAAAAGCGATCACAGCATATCTTGAATGATCAAGAGGGGCAAGAGAGAATTCTGTTAATAAAACCAGTTCTATCTGCAGACTAGAGCAGACGAGACAGCTGCCAGAGCAGCTGAAGCAGGTCCAAAGGCAGGAGTTGACATGAGGCGGCCAGCACAAGTTCCTTACCACCTCTTTCCACAACTCTACCGCTATTACATTAGACCAAGACTGTACAGAAATCCTATAGTCAGTGCAACACCACTACGTGATCTGTCCTGTAATCGGTTACTGTAAAGACATCTGCCTTGGTACTGATGACATTCTGGTATTTTACTGGTTGCCTTCTATCATGAATATCACTATAAACAGATGTTTGTTTAATCTTTATATTTTAAAATGTCATAACAACAAGGCAAGTATTTCATAAATAAGGATTTTGATTTCTCAATTAAGACAATTTCACATTTTGATCATTTTTAAAAATACGTTTCAAACTGTAAATGCAGAAATTCCTAAGAGTCCAGGGCCTCACTGTCACCTTTATTCTGGCAATACTACAGAACAAAAAGCTCCAAAAACATTGAGACTTGCAAAACTGTGTTACACTATTTTGTAATCAGACACTACATGAACAATTCTACACAATGATGGTTGTTGCCAAAAATCAATTCTTCAATCAGGTTTGCAATTTGAAATTCACACGATAAAAATACTATGTGTATTATATAGTTCATATTAACACTAAATGTAAATATATACACATATGCGCCTTAATTCCTACCCATTGCAATTCTGTCCGATGATTTAATGCAATAGAAAATTTATTTAAATAGAAAACACTATAGGTCGACTGATACGGACACTTAAAGCAGATCTGTAGTTTTATTCACATGAACAGTCCCCCTGAATAGACTTCCAACAGATTTATAAATGTAGCAGGGCTTAAATTTACAGCTGTTCAAATGAAGGTAATTTTATTTTAAAAGACTGAATTGTTTATTTTTACTCTCTGCCCAATTTATAGCAGTTGCATAATTAATTCAAAATGTTCTTTATCAGTAATGATACTAAAAAAATTATTCCCACTCACATATCAAAAATGAAAATAGCTAAATTTCCAGATAGAGTAGCTAGATCTAAAGCTCTGTAAAGTTAATGCAAATCCTACCCGTTTCATTAGTGTTTGAAAACAGCACTTTTGAGGTGTCCCCCCCCCAAAGTTCTACAAACAAATAGTTTTCAACCTGTAATTTACAGATGATGCAGTTACAAATGAGATATATGCTTGTCTGTTTTCAAATATTTCTTAACTTTCCAAGTAAAAATTCATTTCAATAATTGCTAGACTCTTCTACATTGTTGTCATTAATCAGCCCTATTTTCCCAGCTTACAGCAGCTGAAGAGATAATTGCTTTGTACGTACACAAAGACTCTGATCCAAATGCTTCTTCAACATACAGGGATACATCCAAGACGCGATAACATCATACCAAAGAATTTCAAGTGTAGGATGACGTACCAATTTATATCCTGCGTCCCACTGCTAGTAAAGAATGGGTATATCCCTGAAAGCCCTCTCCATTTGGGACTAACGTGTTGGCATGCTTTTAGAAAGTAACTTTTTAGACCAGAGCACATCTCAAATCAAACCGTAAAGATTGCAGGTTTAATTTCAACATTGTGCGTTCATTTTAGAGGTGACATGAAAACCGAAAGTTTCTCTTGTTAGGTTGAGAAAAGGGACAATCAATCAAAATCAAAGTAATAATGAGTAAAACAAAAACCAGAGGCGAAAAGCAATTAATTGAAGAAAGTACGTACAGTGGGAAGAGAACAGGAATGAAGAATTTGTACTCTTTTGCCCAAAGATAAGAAAATCTAGGAATCGCTGCTCTCTTCTAATAATGTCAGCAATACAATCTCAGAGCGTAACCATTAAATAATTCAGACAGAAGAAAAGACAGAACACATTTGGAATACTGATTCACTAAGGCCTGTTAAAATGCCATCAGAAAGCTGGTATGAAGAAACAGAATCTCAAAAAACTACTCTGGAAGAAAGCCCAAGACGTTTCCTTATCCATGCTCTGTACCCCCAGGGAAAGATCACCTATTTGACAGGGTCCCCCACCAAGCCACTGCAGGTAGGCTGCAGCTGGTGTGAAGTATTTTAGTACTCCAGGTAACAACAACAGTCAGGATGCATCTGAGCTTGCAACAAAAGCTGAGGATGAAGCAACCCAGGGTCAGAAAGATTGTGGTGACACATGGAAAAGCCCATTGTAACAGATCAACCGAGCTTGCCTCCTTTTCTCCCTTCCTAATTTTCTCAGCAAGTTTTTATAATTATTTGGTCTTTATCTGGTCAAGATCCTTCTTCCAAGTGTGATGCCCAAACCCTGAAACAATATTACACCAGATGTTCCATCAATGCTGAGGAGTACAGAAGTTCTTTCTTTTACCTATTTGTTGTTGAATGTTCTACTTTGCACCTTTTTCCTATGTATTACAGTACTTTGAATTTTAAAGACCACTTTAGAAAATAATGCTATCCTCTGAAGTTATCGGACCTCTCTTCCTCTGGGATTAATTGCAGATTTAGTAAATACATTCCATCCAGCTCCTTCATGGAATATTTGATGATCTCCCATCATGACCCTAATGCATTCAGTCAGTACTACGTATCAAAACCTGAGCAGAAAAAAAGCAAGCCCTCGATTGTAACTGGCTATTGCACATGATGATTCCAGTTGCCAAAGCAATTAGAAACTGCGACTACTGTCATACCACATAATTGCTAAAGCAAAGAACTGCTGATCTGAAGCTTGTGCGTACTGTATGTGATACCTCCCCTTTAAACAACGTTTGTTGGCTGTTCAGTGAAAGTCTGAATAGCGTTTGCTTCCCTAAACCTCATGCCTGTACAATTCCTTTCTCCATCCTCCTCCTGTGCTCCAAAACAACATTAAATCCCCCTTAATACTTGCTACACTGCTGCTCACTCCTTCTTTCTGCCTCCCACTGAGTGCTTTCTCCCAGCTCCGCTGCTCAACAGCAGGGTGAGAGCGGTGCCCAGCTGGGAACCCGCTGCAGCACACACCGACTTGCCAGGTGGTGCTGGGAAAAAACGGGAAGTTTTTCCTAAAGCTTCTTAATATTAACTTGTGCTGAAACCTCAGTCCCCTCTGCCCAACATAATTGAAGGTGCTAAAGGTTTCAAAAGCAATCAGGAGCAAAACATGATCACGAGCTCTTTTTTCTCTAGGATGACAACCAAACAATGATCCTGCTACGAAGTATCCAAGTAACCACCTTCATCTGATTTTTAGACTAGTAATGATAATTCAGTGACAATGTACTCTCTCTGCACTAAAAACACAACCCATCTATCACTGTGAAGTGATTCCTTACCACAAGAAATATATTTGGAGAAAGCTGTGTTATTAACGGTACAATGAGGGTCACCCATGTAGAATTAGTTTGCTCCTCTCACACAAACACAGGCACGGTTTAGCTGCCCGGCAATACACCGGGTTTGCCACGGGACTCCACCCTCAGCGTAAGGAGCATGCAGCAGGCAGTTCTGAAGCAATGATTTAAATATTTGCTATATACGAACTAATACACTGCTGTGGTCCCACACGGCTGCACAGAACTTTAACTTTGCTCTGAAGACCCAATTTGAAATTTTATAATGGTGTTATCTACAGCAATTATCATTACAGCTTCTGACCATTTAAAGATACTTAGGATTTAAAAAAAAAAAGAGAAAACTGAGGAGCAAAAAATAAGCAAGGTGAAGTCTCCATCAAACAAACCCAGCACTTCAGAAAGCAGTGAATCACTGAAACATAGTTTAACAGAAAATGGTTTAACAGTTCTTACGTGCATGCCCTTACCCCAAGTAACAACAGTTTGTCTAGAAGAGCAAAACTCAGGGAAACCTGAGCAAAGCATACTTCTGCCTACTGAATAACACTTTCTAGCAGTTGTTTTCTTTTGCAGTTATCAAAATATTAAGAGCAAGCTCTACTGGCTTTGTCCACAAGACTTTGTTACAAACTCATGCAACCAACCCACCTCTGAAGTTATTTTTCCTTCTCTGCTCACACTGCACTACAGCAATGCCATCAACTTTGGACCAGAGGGCCTGAGAAGCTATCACCTTTCTAGTCCCTGCTTTTGACCCACATGAGCAAACTCTATTTAACTTGAAGTATGAAAACAAAAGTAAAATTCTATTTCAAATATGTTTCTTAACGAATCATTTAAACTTGAAAGCCTACTAAACATTAAGCACCTGAACACTAATGTTGTAATATTCCATCTACCCAACAGCCAGTCCTACTTCGCTTGTTCTCTTCCAACACTCCTCCTTTTCTTCCTTCGACTTAACGCTCATCTGTGAGGCTTTGAAACAGAGATATCATGTTCTGTAAGTTTTTAGTGTGCGCTGCACATCTGGATCACAGCCAGGGCTATAACCTTGAGACGTTATGGTAATGTAAACAATCTCTAAAAAAGCAACTTGCTGAAGAATGGCATTGAGACACCAACAGCAGAAAAGGGTGATGAGCTGCCCAGTAGTATTCAACCTACTCATGTCAGAATTCAGAATGGTTTCAGAACTGCAAGTATTAATGTTAAAACGTTCCTCAGATAACAAGCAGGAACAAGCTGATTATTATCTTACATCACAATTCTGTTGACAGGCAACAAGTGGTGTCTCAACCAGCCACAAGATGGAAGATACCCGAAACTGGAGAGACTTTTTTTATTGAAAGAAAGCTTTCAATCATTTCTCACAGTTAAAAAAACCAAAATACCCCATGTGCTTTAACAAATTAACCAAGTTAAAAGTACAGTCACCGAATTTTCAATTCTCTTTAGTCTGAGCATTGCACTGCTGCTTTGGCAGTGCAGCATCTAAACTTTTTCTTTGCTTGCTGTAGACACATAGCAACCACCTATCAGTACATGTCATGAAATTGCTGAACATTTCTCACAGTTAAAAAAACCAAAATACCCCATGTGCTTTAACAAATTAACCAAGTTAAAAGTACAGTCACCGAATTTTCAATTCTCTTTAGTCTGAGCATTGCACTGCTGCTTTGGCAGTGCAGCATCTAAACTTTTTCTTTGCTTGCTGTAGACACATAGCAACCACCTATCAGTTCATGTCATGAAATTGCTGAAATTTCCCCCGTGCTGGAAAAAAAAAAAAATATCCTACTTGAGGAAGCACTTTATTTTGGAAGGTGGGTTGTCTCTGTTCTGGTTTTCATTTGTTTTGGGTTTGTTTTTTTGTTAAAGAGAAATCTGCCTACTCATACAACACACAACAAAATGCTAAAGTAAAGCAATTAAGTCTTCAAAAAGTATAATGCATTATTTATGCTGTCACTTCTTTGCAGATATTGGGAAAAAATACATACCCACAATCTGGAGCCGGGCACCACCTGCAATCAGGATCTGCAACAAGCCATCGCCTAAGCATAAACTCTTCGTATTTTTCCATCAAGATGTCATCATTTAGTATCAAACGAATATCATGAGGATTAAATCGTTCTGAGCATTCCGGACAGCTAATATTAACTCTGCTCTCAGAGATTTCTATTCGGAGATACTGACGCAAGCAATCCACACAAGATCTATGGTGACAAGTCATTATCTCCGGGAACCTGTCCTTGGAGTGCCGCAAAAGGCACAAGGGGCATTCCATGAAGTCTCCACTTGGTTTGCTGCTAGAGGTTGTTCCGTTATCAGAAGAGGTACACGTGGAGAAAATAGAGTTCTTGTCTGTACACATTTCTGAATGAATACTTTCAATACTTGCAATCCCATCAACACCTCCATTTAAATCCCTAGACTTGCGTTTTGTGTCTTTTTTTCTCCGAAAAAGAGAACCCAATGAAATTCTTCTTTTCTTTGGTGCCTTTTTAACTGATGGCAAGCTCACAGAGGAAGCAGAAGATTGGAGGTCCCGATCAGAGCCCATTTGCCGATGTAAACTCATGTCTAGGTCACTCATCAGAAATTGGTTAAATTTCATATACAACCATAACCATTGTTAAGGATCAAAATACTAGAGTCAGAGGATACAGGCATATTATTATGTAATCCAGTTTGAGAGTCTTCATGCAGAAAATTCACACATATCCGCTTCCAGGAAATGCTTCACAGGAATTCCTTATGTTAGGGGGAAAGAGAAAAAAAAAAATTAGAATCACATCCATCACTTTTGGTTCTGAAAGATCACAGCACTCCTAATGACCTGTTATTCATATTACTACCGCCTTCTCACCATCTGACCCAATACTTCTGTCAGCTTTTTCTATCCATTACATCCTTCTCATCTCAGCAAGCCTGATATTTCCCTGTGGTCAAGGAATATCTTTGTGACACTTAAGCAATGCCAAGACGAGCGTCTTCACTCCCCTGCTCCCTAAGGGGGGTAGTGCGTGTGAGTACATACGTGCAGAAATTGCCATAACACGAGGTGACAACTAAGTAAATGTATAACAAGTTCTTCTGTAAAGCACAGGAACAGGCTTATAGCACGGGAAACTTTTCTGTTTACCTTACATTTTTCACACATGCAATAAGGTCATGTACAAACCCAATGTAGTTAATTAAAAGAAACAATATTTTGTGTGTGTTTTGAATCCATTTAGACTACCAGCAGAAATTAAGTCACTGTGGCTAAACAACTCAAGATATTCTCAAAACCTAAGGGTTCTCAAAGAAGTATGGACATGAATATTTATAAATGTAAGGCACCTGAATATTTCACGAAGCAGAGGTGGAGACTGAGTGACAGCCAACACTGTCTTGCCCTTTAATTTCCAGATTGCAATTCAAGCAAAGACTCTATCTAAGGTGATGACATTTGAATTTTTCATCATGCTGATTTTTATTTTAAGAAAAGAAAAAAGCCCCAAAACCAGATTCCCATTGCATATCCAGCTTCAGTTTTTCCCTATGTACAATATGACAGCAAGGATTTCCTTCTGTTCCCTGTTGCTTAACTGACCAGCTCCCAAGCAGAGAGAAAGAAAGGTGTTTCCTATTTCCCTCCGACAGAGGAGACTGCTCCAAAGAAGGGGCAGATCACCTTGAGGCAAAAACATTAACTTCCTCCAAACATGCAAATACTCCCACTTCTTGGAAGCTTGGTTGATCCAGCTGTGGGATGATTGACTTGACAGTACGCTGGGTGAAGGGCAGGGCTCAGAGGGCTGCAGTGAACGGGGCTACATCTGGCTGGTGACCCGAGGTGCTCCTCGGGGCTCCATTCTAGGGCCAGTTCTGCTCAATAGATCTGGCAACGATCTGGATGCAGGAGCTGAATGCACCATTAGCGAGGCTGCTGGACTGGGAGACGCTGCCGGCTCTCTTGAGGGACAGGAGGCCTTGCAGAGGGATCTGGCTAGACTGAAGCTATGATTAATGGGATGAAATTTAACAAATCCAAATGCCAGGTTCAGCACCTAGAACAGAGTAACACCAGGCACAAGTGTAAATCGGGACAGGAGTGGCTGGAGAGCAGCCCTGAAGAAAGGGACCTGGGGGTGCTGGTGGGCAGCAGCTCAGTAGGAGTCAGCAGTGTACCTGGACAGCCAAGAGGACAAACCGCATCCTGGGGTGCCCCAAACACAGCATCACCAGCCGGGCAGAAGAGGTGATTATCCCACTGTATCCAGCACTGGGGCAGCCTCACCTTGAGCACTGTGTGCAGTTCTGGGCCCCAACATTTAAGAAGGATACAAAGGTCCTTGAATGCCTCCAGAGGAGGGCAACAAAGCTGGTGAAAGGGCTGGAAGGAACGTCCGGTGAGGAGCAGCTAAGGACTTTGGGCTTGTCTAGTTGGGTGAAAAGGAGACTGAGGGGCAACCTCATTGCTCTCAGCAGCTTCCTGAGGAGGTGATGTGGAGAGGGAGGTGCTGATCTCTTCTGCCTGGGATCCAGTGACAGGACACATGGGAATGGTTCAGAGCTGTGCCAGGAGTGGTTCAGACTGGACATTAGGAAGCATCTATTTACCAGGAAGGTCGTCAAACATTTTGGTATGGAAAAGACAAAGGGGGGAAACCCCACTGCCCGAGGTGAATGCCTCTATTTACCATCACTCAGACAGTCTGCACATCAGCTAGAGATCGCCTGAAAAACAACCATGTGCTGTACGCCTCTGGGACCGGATCACTGAGACGATGGGGTCAAGACTAGGAAGTTTCAGAGGAAGACGAACCAGAAGTGGAATCAGGAATCCCTCTCCAAAGAGGAAACACAGAAACAGCCCCCAGGCTGTCCAGCTCACCAGAGCAATGCACCCAGCACACACACTGCTGGGCCCTCTCCAGACTGCTGTAGCTTGGTGTTATACACATACCAGCAGGTAGCCAGGTCAGCACTACTCCATTTATACTACCATCCCGTACAATGGTACCCTACAAGAGTAATACCTTCCCCAAGTGTAAGAATTTAAAAGAAAAAAAAAACCCCACACAACAACAACAAAAAAAAGCAACAAAAGACCCCCTCACATCTCCTGCTTTTGCTGAAAAGAGTTCTTATGTTTCAGGCCACTAGACTTTTTTGTTTGTTTTTTAAGAAAAAATTTTAAAGCCACTGTTTTCTATTTTTTCAAATGCTGATTTTTTTTTTCTAATAAAGGTAAAATCTTACCTCTGTGTAACACTATCCAAAAAAAAAAAAAATCCTCTTTTGTCCCCAGGGTCTAAAGTAAAGCATATTTCAAGAACATAACACACTCTTCCTTCCCTCCTAAGGGAACATTTTCAGCCTAAAATCTAGCCAAAAGGAGTCTTGGATGCTTTACCTGCTTCTGTTCCCAAAACAAAGTTAATAGTTTTACAGCTGCTATTTCTCATTAAATGAACTAAGACATTCCCTTATCTAAAGAAAAAAAGGTGAAACTGAAAAAACTGCTCAACAATGATGACAGAAGGAAACATCCTTCGCTCTAGGATCTTGGCATGATGTTATAACATAGAAACACGCGGTTAGTAGATGGTGTCTGAAATATACCACAGACACACAAATCCTATAGCCTATGGCTGATGATAAATTAAGTTTATACCTCTACAAGTGCAAGAATAACCTTGAAGGTATTATCACTACATACTTACTAACATTTTTATGTTCAGATACTACCATGACAGTGGAAAGTGCCATCCTCCCCAAGCCAGGAGAGCCCACGAACAACATGAATAGCAATCAAGGAGCAATCAAGATCCTCATTTCAGGCAAGAAGGTTTTTTGGTTTTTTGTTTTGTTTTAAAGTAGGAAGTAAACACAGTAACACAGCCAAGGCTATGACTACAATCCTTCCCCTTCTCCCTTTCTCTGGAGAGGAAAGAATGCGTATTACAGCATTTCTGCCAGTTCCAACAGATGTACAAAATCAAGAAATGGCAGCTCTGGTGATGAATTAGCTGTACTTTTTGTTTAGTTTCTTTTGTTTAAAATAAACAAAGATTCTCCCATGCTCTGAAGAAAGAGACCAGTACGTCCTATAGTGTTCTTTGTGCCATGGGATCTGATAAGCAGTCTCTCAGAAATAGCAGACTGCTCTTCTAAAGAAAAGGGTTAAACTTTGTCAGGATTTTTGAATACCGACATTGCCAGTTATTTCAGAGAATCATCAATGATGCTCTCTAGATTTAAATGCATAAAGCTAGTTTTAAAAGCTATACTCTTCCTTATATAGTAATTTTGGATTGCCATTTTAGTGACGTTCGAAGCTGAAGTGAAAAGATTCAGCAGATGATTTATCACAGGAAAAAATGAAGACGAATGTTACAGTGCTAACAATGATCAGAGCTGTACAAAATCATAAAAGCCTCTCTAGCACCATCTGGAACACTGGCCAGTTCTCATGTTGCTCAACCCAACACAGCATCTGCATGGTTTTTTTTCTGACAAAAAGAAGGAAAGCATATTTGATTCTCCACAGCCAGAGAACACAACGCCTCTATTATTCCAGTAACAATGAGTCCACACGGAGGAGATACACTGTGTGAAAAATGAAGCTCTGAAATCAAGAGACTTGAAACAAGCCGAGACACACAATTATGGCAATAACAACAAACAGTCTGATTTCGAGAGGCAACATTCATTGCAAGTTCTGCACCGCTCTCGCTGACCGGTATAAACTCTGTCAACATAGAGAAGAAACTAATATGGGCAACAATGAAGGGCCAGAAAAACCACTCCTAAAAATGGAAGGTCACCAGTGTCCTCAGCATTTCCTCAAAAGCACTTACCGACTGCAAAAAAAAACTGTATTTCTGGCTTCCCGCCACACCTAAAGCCCTACCACAAATCCAAATTCCAGCCATGCTTTGCATTCTGCTCACACCACAGGCTACACGAACACCGACTGCCCCAGCACAAACCAACCTTGTCATTTGAAGATTTCCAAAGGCACAAATGACGTTTACAGACATAGCAGTTAAGTACTGAGCTGTGCAAGTTATCTGTTCCTTCAGTAATTCCTCCTCAACTGTTTGCTGGGGAAACCTAACTAACATCCTAACCCATTTCCTCCTGTAATTCTTTCCAACCATGCTGCTGTGCGTAAATGCTATTTATTGCTGACCATATAACGGAGGGGGAGGGAAAGGAAATTGGAATAACTTTGCAAAAGGAGAAGTTTCCAACTCAGGGATGACTGGGGTGAAAAATGTCTTCTAGAATGGCTCTCCATGACATAAACTTTGTCTCTTCTTACCAATTTCAAAACTTTTAGGAAATGGACCAGTGCAGCCGAGTATAACCCTAGTGATTTTGCAAGAAAAGAGCAATAAAGCCCGACTTCTGTAACCCAGCTGCTGGGGGAGGCTAACTCTGCTGTGTTCCTGACTGTCCTCCAAACACACCCGAGGCACAAGCTCAACAAGCTGCCTGCACCTCCACCACCCGTTCAACCTGGTGTACAGGAGCAACGAGAGAGTCTGCCATCAGGATGAGCAGCTTCACATGCGTTTGTCAAACGAAGGCAGGCTTAAACATTGTGTAGGAAAGGAGAAAAACCATTATAAACATAGATGTAGCTACACCCTCACTAAAACCCTTAAACATTCCCTCATGTCACTGGTGCTTAAATGGTTAATTTAGACTTTTCCTGTTGCAAAGGAACACTCTTCATTTTAGGCATTTGCTCCTCCTGG